AAAACAGCCCCTTATTCAGCAAATTGTGCATGCTGCCTTTGACCCCTTGGGGGCGGGGCAGCACTTTCCTTGCGATAGTAACTTCTAGTTTTATTTTAGTTTTTAAAACACCATTCACATTGAAACCAGGCATGGCAACCATAACGCTTTCATATATATATATATATATATATATATATATATATATATATATATATATATATATATATATATATATATATATATATATATATATATATATATATATATATATATATATATATATATATATATATATATATTTATATCTTAAAATTAATTATTGCTACTCAAGTTTCACGCCTTATTCAAGACGATCTTCTTCGATTGTGTTTGAAACACAAACTGAATTAATTGCCTGAAGATCGTCTTGAATAAGGCGTGAAACTTGAGTAGCAATAATTAATTTTAAGATATAAATATATCTTGCTCTACTTTTGTATTAGTGTTGAGCACTTTATTATCTACTACAACAAAACAAATTATATTATATATATATATATATATATATATATATATATATATATATATATATATATATATATATATATATATATATATATATATATATATATATACAGCTAATTCAATAAAGGTTGTCCTTTGCAAACCTTAAACTTTAAAACCTTAAACCTTAAACTCTAAGCGCGCAAAGCATGATGGGAGCACTGATTCAAGCTTAGTAGTTGATTATTGCAGCTGTTTGTCAATGAAATTTTTTTGCAGGGAGATATTTATCATGTCTCCAAGAAATGGTTTCCATATATGCTTTGTAAACTGCTGAAATCGTGCTCCCATTATGCATTGCGCGCTTAGAGTTTAAGGTTTAAGGTTTTAGAGTTTCAGGTTTCAAAGGACAACCTTTATTGAATTAGCTGTATATATATATATATATATATATATATATATATATATATATATATATATATATATATATATATATATATATATATATATATATATATATATATATATATATATATATATATATATATATATATATATATATATGCATATATATATATATATGCATATATATATATATATGCATATATATATATATATATATATATATATATATATATATATATATATATATATATATATATATATATATATATATATATATATATATATATATATATATATATATATATATATATAAAATATATATATATATATATATATATATATATATATATATATATATATATATATATATATATATATATATATATATTTTATATATATATATATATATATATATATATATATATATATATATATATATATATATATATATATATATATATATATATATATATATATATATATCGGGTGGCCCAAAAAAAAGTACTCATCTTTGATTCAGTATAACTTAAAAAGTAATAGAGTTCTGACACTTAAACAATAGGCATTGTATTCAGTAATGTATAACTTAAATTTTCGTATATACCATTTGCATTTTAATACAGTATTGACTGAGATAACTGCGTTTAAAGTTGAGTTAACGTTTCGGGAAATGTCGAAAATGAGCAAAAAACGACCTATTAAATGTTAATACCGCAATAACCTGTGCGTAGGTACACTGCAGTCGAAAAGTACACGTTTGTTTTCCAGATAAAAATGCTATTCATTAGGAAATGCATGCCCCGCAGCAAGAATGCACTTTCTTGCCTGTGTGAGCATGCAGTCGAATGAATTTCGGATCATCTGGGCATCCAGGTTGCGGCATGCTGTTACAATTGCCTCACGAAGCTCTCTCAAATTATGTGGTTGTTCATCATGTGGCACATTCCAAATTTGATGCTTCAAGTAGCCCCAAAGAAAAAAATCGCACACCGTCAGGTCAGGAGAACGAGGGGGCCAAGGCCAATCACCCCGTTTACTCATCAGTCGGCCAGGAAATTGCCCCCGAAGATATTGCATAGTTGCGTTACTCGTATGGCATGAAGCTCCGTCTTGCTGCCACCACATGGAATCTCTATCGATATTGTGAGTGTGAAAGTCTCTCTGAATCACGTTATAGCGTATGATACGGATGTACTCTCTCGTGTCGAGGTTTCTCTCTGCAAAGTGTGGACCCAGAACAACGCCTTGCCTCGTCAAACCAACCCAAACCATTATTTGCTGTGCACCTTGCATAAATTCGACGTAATGATCCTGTGGCGGCCCATCGCCACGCGCTGCGTATTTTCTAACGTTCCTCGAATTTATTTCCGAATTCAAGCTAAACACAGCTTCATCTGACACTAGTAACTTGTCAAGAAAATCAGGAATCCGGGCGACCGTATTCACAAGTCGGTTGCAGAATGCCAGTCGTTGTGCTGGATCGCCTTCTCTTAACTTTTGCCTTCGAATTATGACGTACGGATGAAATTTAATATCGATTTTCACTATGCGCTGAAACGTGGTTCGGCTCAATGCCAAACCATTTCGCCTACCAGATCTTTGACCATTTTCCGTAAGAGATTGTCGAACCAATTCGATGTTTTCCGCTGTTCTAGCCGTTCTCCGTCTACCACTTCGTCCCTTGTTGAGATTATGACAAGTCCCCTCGTGCACAAACTTGCGATATGTTTTCATAACAGTTCGTTTAGTAGGGGCAGGAAGGTTGCCCAAGCGTTCTGCCCATCGCCTTTGAACTTCACAAGCATTATTTACCCTAGCATATTCTAAACAAAGCCAAACTCTTTGGTCGTTCGTTAAACGAGGCATCTTTATAACGGTACCGGTAAAAAGAGCAAAGAGACAGGCCACGTTTCTTTCTTGCACATTAGCATTTGAATTCCCCAGAGACATTTAATGTTGCCGTAAAATAAAACAATCAAAACAGCCTTACACGTTAAACTTAATGCATTCCAAAAGTTCGTATAATGAACATATCTGTTCAATAAACATTTTTAAACTTCACTTTTAATTTATGAAACGAATACTTATACGTACGATAAACTGCGGTTGACAAAATTACTTTAATAGGCCGTTTTTTGCTCATTTTCGACATTTCCCGAAACGTTAACTCAACTTTAAACGCAGTTATCTCAGTCAATACTGTATTAAAATGCAAATGGTATATACGAAAATTTAAGTTATCATTACTGAATACAATGCCTATTGTTTAAGTGTCAGAACTCTATTACTTTTTAAGTTATACTGAATCAAAGATGAGTACTTTTTTTTGGGCCACCCGGTAGGCTATCACTAATAGCCTACTAGTAGCGTAGCCAATCAGAAGGCACGATATGTGATAGCCTACTAGTAGGTTTATACTAAATATGTTTAGTATAAACCTACTAGTAGGCTATCCCTTGCGGTACTCCTTGTGATACCACTTGACAAGTGGATACACATTCATTTGACAAGTGGATACACAAACTGTTTTCTGTCGGATAGATACGATGTAAACCAGGCAATTGATGATCCGTCTACCCCATAAATTGCAAGCTTTTTCAGCAGAGTTTTGTGATTTATAAGGTCGAATGCCTTTTTAAAGTCAATAAATGTCAAACATGTAACCTTATCGTCATCCATGTTAAGGTTACAGAACACCTTTGAGGGTTAATTTTGCCTAAATTTTTTTTATTGGTTTCCATTAAAGCATTAGACTAGCTCTACTATTTGACCAAGTTTGAACGAAAAATGTTGAAAACTCGCAGAGTTATTTAATAAAATACATTTCGCTGCAATAAGAAAAACATTGAAAATGTAATATTCAATTTTCTCCCGAAGAATTTTACGGTAATTACTGATTTTCAAACGAGTTGTGCTCCTGCGGGTTTTGACCAATTTTTCTCAAATTTTCACAGGACATAGCTAAAGACGTCAGTTTCAAAATTGTGTTCGGCTTTTTTTTAATTTTGGATATTTTAATAATAAAGAGCAATTCACTCAAACAATTCAGAAATATATTGCAGTCGTCAAAGAAATCGCCATATCAGCGGAATGACGAAATAAACAAAAATTTCTGAACACAATTTTTTAGAACAACTATTTTACTGTATAAAAATGATATTTTCATAAATATAACTTAAAACCAGCAGGAGCACAACTCAAAAGCGTAACGGTACCGCGATTTACGATTTTCCTAAATAATTCTTACATTATTTTATTGTTTGTTAATTTTACAACTTTACCATATTTTTCATGCACTGGAGAACATTTGGTGAAAATTTGATGAAAATCGGACTGATATTGAGCGCGCAGTAGCGATTTTCCGCAAAACGCCAAAAAGGGTGTCCTGTAACCTTAAAAAGGAGTTCGTCGACAAGGTTTATTAATGCTGTCTCTGTCGAGTGGTTAGCACGAAAACCTGACTGGAATTTATAGAGAAGGTTATGATCTTGGAGGTACTTGTAGAACGATGTGGCCACATGTTTTTCAAGCACTTTAGAGATAACAGGAAGTATCGAAATCGGACGGTGATTATCTGCATCACGAGATCCACTTTTATGTAGGGCTGTTACTTTCTTGGTTTTCCATTTGATAGGAAAAGTACCCGATGATATGGAGTAATTCATAAGGCGGCAAAAAGGTTGAGTCAATACCGGTGCTGCTAACTTTACTATTCTAGCACTTAGGCCATCACAGCCAGTGGATTTGTTAGTTGGCATGCTATTCAATGCAGCCAGTACCTGTGTTGACGTAATCGGTGGTATTTCAAAACAATCCTTACCAATCTTTAGCTTTACAAATTCGACTAATTTTTCCCCATCAAATTCGGCATTATTTTGATTCACTTGACTGATTCTAGAGGCAATATTAATAAAAGCGTCATTCATTGCTTCAACGATTTCGGCTTTATCTTTTACTACCACATCATTGACCTTTAATTCATCTATTGTTATTGGATTATTTTTCTTCCCACTTAACGATTTTAGCACTTTCCAAATTCCCTTAGGATTTCCTTGATTATTTTCTATTGATTCTTGAATAAATTGTCGTTTAGAGAATTTAATCATATTTGTAGTTTTGCATCTGGCATGTTTGTACAAAGCCCATTCGGCCGGGATGTTCTTTAATTGGAACATCTATTGTACAGAGATGCGTTATTAAAATACAAAAAATACCAATGTATTCCTTCTTTTCCACTAAAAATCATTCGCAGATATCTTATTAATAATAAATTAAATTATAATTTTCAAATTTTCAATTAGTTTTGTTTTAAAATACATGCGTTTGTCTTTATAATAATGTATCCTAATTTGTCAACTTTTTCCGTAATTCTCGTAAATTTAGCTAAATTTTTGCTATAACTGTTACTTTTTATTCCGAGCCATCTAATTTGTCAATCATCTCAAATCATCGTTTTCATTCTTGTCCCGAGTTCCCTAACTGGTCCTCACTGCTCCCCGTCCCAGAAGCTTTCCTGGGTGTCTCCATCAAGGTAGAACACCTCCATCGGTAAATATCTAAATTTCTTGCCAATATTCGCCAAAGCAGTCATGTCTTTTTTCTCCAGTTTCACGTTGTATGTTTCTAGGTTTTGTTTAATACGGCCTTCGTTGACCGACTTTGGTAGAACAGGACAGCCATAGTTCACCCCCCAGGCTAGTAACACCTAAAAAATGATAAACGCGAGTTATGAAAATGTCCCGAGAACAGCTTAGAACTGATAGAGCTATACAGTATAACTAAAGTTGTTAGTTTAGGTTTTCTCCTGCAGTAAAGCCGCTTTCCATTAGGCAGAATTTTGTTCGCGGAGCAGAATTTCTCTTTGTCTTTTCTAATTATAGTTCCACCTGAGAAATCACAAGACAAAAAAATTTCTGCTCCGCGCGCAAAATTCCGCCTAACGGAAAACCGGCTTAACACTGGATCAATGATAATTACTGGACCTCTAGGGCACAGAATAGGAAGTTATACCAGAAGCGTAACTCGAGCAAATATTTGTCCGCGTTTTTACAAGCGATTCGTCATCAATCACGCCATCCTGGCTAGTACAACCGGCACTTTGTACCTACCAAATCCTGATAAAAACTTCCGGCTGTACTAGCCAGGATGGCGTGGCCTGACGTGAGCGAGTTAAAAATATTCGTGGACGTCAAACAATAAGGGAAACGACTAGAGTTACGCTTCTGGTATAACTTCCTATTCTGTGTCTAGGGAGAACAGTTTAAAACTGATAGAACGACCCATGTATAAATAAAGTTAGTTTAGTTTAGGTTTCTTCCTGTAGTAACACTGGTCACTGGATCATATCAATAGGGGAATAACATTGAGGTAGTTCAGATACATACCACGCGGCACTACTACCTACACTGGACCCAATACGTTTGATATTTAGTAAACAAACCTGTGCAGGGCTACAATTACGTTTCGCAGCAATTTCTTTGATCAGCGGTTCATCCATAAGAACAGGATCAGCTTCGCCATATCTAGGCCGGCCAGCGGAACCCAGAGAAGAAAACGCGGTTATGATAATTCCTGCAAAAATAAACAGCGTCAACTTGTACACACGTAAAAACGCACAAGTTGTAACAAACCTGCAGCAGATTTGTAGCAATGCTGTTTCAACAACTTGTCAACAGGATGTGTTCACACTGCTTGTTCCCAGCTTGTTGACAAGTTGTCAACGGCTTGTTGACAACTTGCTACAAGGTTGTTGAGCTCAACGGACTTGTTACAAGTTGTTCCAACAACTTGTTATCGTCCTGCAATTCAACAACTTGTCAACAAGTTGTGAGTGACAATCCTGTAGCAACTTGATAAAATAACAACATTGTTAGAACTTGTTGACAAGTTTGTTGCAAGCCTGTTGCGAACACATCTTGTTGACAAGTTGTGAGATTTTTACGTGTGTAGATGTTCGCTCAAATTTCTTTTGCTTGTTACAGTAAGCAAATGGAACATTCAGAATCTGGACTGCGCATCCAAATGACGCGTTCTGCGTCGGAATTGCGCCGGAATAAATTTCAGTTGAATCAGAACATGTAGCATGGAGCATTAAATAAATTTTATATATTTTGTAATTTAAAGCGAGTCAACTGTGTGGACACTAATTGTTCTTTGAGCAACTTTTGCATATTCAAATGATGATTACACAGTTGAATACTTTGATATTGTTCAACTGAAATTTATCTCGACGCAGAACGCGTCATTTGGAATACCACGTATACCACTACACTGCAAAAAACGCCCAGCCTGCAACGTTGTTGAAAACAGGCCTGAACAATATTTTGCTGCCCATATTGTTTCTAGTTGTTAACAATATTGTGTTCAGGCTGAACAATGCTGAACAATATTGTTAACAACCAGGAACAATATGGGCAGCAAAATATTGTTCAAGCTTGTTTTCATCAACATTGTTGCAGGCTGGGCGTTTTCTGCAGTGTAGTTATATGAAACACTTAAGGTGGCTCGATATAGTTATCACAAAAACCCTGCTCAAGAATCGCGAACTCAAAACCGGGTAACCGTTTTTACGCGCAGGTCGCGGAAATTGATTAACAAAATGAAAAATACTTCCACAATGACCTGACGTGAGCAGTTGCTGGCGCCATATCACGCCATTGTCCGTGTTATATAGCGTTTTATGTCAATTGCTGACGTCATTAGAATTTTCCATTTTAGAAAAACAATGCGCTATATCTCTTTATTTTGTCTGGTGACCTATGTTCAAATTTCGCATGCTGTATTGCACCGCTAAAAACTTTCATTATACAAAAAATAAAAAAATTCTGTAATGCCAAAAAAATTTTACCGAAGAATATGACATTTTCGCATTTTCCAAAAAAATGGCATTACAGAATTTTTTTATATTTTGGTAATTGTTAGCTTTTCGTCCAAGTAAAATAATGCACGAAAAAAAATTGGGGGTCACCATGCTTTTTTTCCAACTATACGAGACGATAGGCCATTTTGGAGTGAATTTCGTACTCGTATGTCGTCATAGCAACGAACTATCTGTTACTAAAACTAATATAATTTGAAAGTAGAGAAATCAAAATATATAAAAACCCCAATATCTGCTGAATAAATCCTAAAAATGCGTAGTTTCAACATGTCAAAGTGTTGAACACCTGAATTTTTGAAAACTGTATCGAGCCACCTTAAGATTTTATGTAAACACTCAAGATTGATTATCAAACACTTAAGATTATCTACACAATCAAGGGTTGATTATCAAACACCCAATATTATGTAAACACTCAAGATTGATTATCAAACACTTAAGATTATCTACACAATCAAGGGTTGATTATCAAACACCCAATATTATGTAAACACTCAAGATTGATTATCAAACACTTGCATAAACAAATGCATAAAAAAACACATGCATAAACAAACCATTTTCCTCGCAAAATTTCTTTAGTCCAGGCTGAGGCAAGAATGGGTGAAGTTCAACTGAAAAAATACACAAAGAAGTTAAAATGCGTATTTACTGAAATTCACATGAGCAATCAAGTAAGGCTTCGTCCACACTTGTCCGTTCTCTACCGCCTTGCTGCTACACAAAAAAATCTAAACTGAACTAGCCCAACACAGGTTTGTTTACTGAACCTCAAACGTATGGGGTCCATTGTAGGTAACAGTGCCGTGATTTGTATCTGAACTGCCTCAATGTTATTCCCCTATTGATCCAATGGCCTAAACTAAACTAACTTTATTGATACTGGACAGCTCTATCAGTTCTAAATTGTTCTCTCTAGATGTCCAGTAACAATCATCTGTTATTTATCCAGTGTTACTACAGTAGGGAACCTAAACTAAACTAACTTCATTTATACTGGATAGCTCTGACTAACAGTAAATCTGTTCTAAACTGTTCTCCTTGAGGCCCAGTACAGGAGGAAACCAAAACTAAACTGACTTTATTTATACTGAACAATTCTATCAATTCTAAACTGTTCTCTCTAGAGGTGCAGTGAGAATCATCTCTTATTGATCCAGTGTTACCAGAGGAGGAAATCCAAACTAAACTAACTTAAATGTATACTGGATAATTCTATCAATTCTAAACTGTTCTCTCTAGAGGTCCAGTGAGGATCATCTCGTGTTGATCCAGTGCTACAGGACGAAACCGAGTACCAAGAGAAACCGAGTACCCAGAGAAAACGGCCGTGTTTGGTAGAGTTAAACTTGTATCACTCCAACCTCGTACCCAGGCTATTTTGTCTCGTGCTCTGATGCCACGGTATCACTCTCCTCACCGTGACTGGAGTGAAACTATTAATAGCTATAGACAACTATACACACGTAAAAACGCACAAGTTGTTACAGATCTGTTCACAAACTGTTGGTGTTCGCACTGCTCCTTGTTCCTAGTTGTTGTAACAAGTTTGGAACAAGCTGTTTCCAACTTGTTACAAGGTTGATGGGATTATCAGACTTGTTACAAGGTTGTTCTAACAAGTCTGATACAGTCACGATATAACAAGAATGTCAAAAGGTTGAGGACGCAAGTTTGTAACAATATTGTTATATCATGACTGTATTGGAGTTGTTAGAACAACCTTGCAACAAGTCTGATAATATCAACAAGGTTGTCACAAGATGTTAACAGCTTGTTCCAAACTTGTTGACAACTTGGGACAAGCAGTGCGAACACAACTCGTTGACGGCTTGTTGACAGACTTGCTACAAGATGTGAGAATTTTACGCGTGTACATATTGCATAAGATGCACTAACAACTGCAGCATCAACACCTCGATAGTAGATAGGAGCAAGTCATCACCTTGGTCAGTGGCAGGAACAATTTCGGCTGTTTCCAAAAGTGCGGCCACTTTGGTTGATGAAAAATTGGAAACTCCAATTGCCTTACAAAGTCCTTTATGAACCAATTCTTCCATTCCCTGAAAAACAACTTAAAAATCTTGCTGTATCAAAAGCATACTCATGCATAATTTGATTCATGGCAGTAATATTAATCTATGAATATTTTGGGGTGAATCGTGTTCTTTTCGTGAATATCAAAACGTTTTTCCGATTTTTCGTGACTTGCAAAAAGACCAAATATTTTGACTTGAATGAATTTTGCGGAGGGGTATAGTGAGCCTTCAACAAAAACTCTCATCAAAATTTGAACCAGTTTAAAGTTGATGATAGTCGATGAGAGTTGGCGGTCAAAGGCGAACAAGATTTGCAACTCTTATTTTTCACCTTGCTCGGTTTCCTTTGTTCTTATCGGGGATTATATTCAATAATCCCCTCTAATCAATTTCCCTCTAATAATCCCCTCTAATATTCACTTGCAATGTCTTTGCAGCACAAAAAATGAGAAAAAAACAACATCACGAAGGCAATATGGCATTAAGAATTATTTCTATTCTGACTCATTAACGCGACCTCGCAATGTGAAAAATAAGTACGTTATTTTGAGGCACCTCGGGGATATGTGTTTGTTCACCTCAGCGCTGCGCGCCTCGGTGAATAAATCACATATCCCCTCGTTGCCTCAAAATAACCTATACTTATCAACCCTCTTCCTCGTTTGGCTGAGGCTTGCAAGAAACGGCGACAGCCTTTCTCCTGCTACGTTTAGATTGAGTGACTTTCGAGAAATTTTCCACAAAGACAAAGTTGTGTATATTATTCATCGTAGCAGCCAACGCTGGAACGTCCTAATTTTCAATTGAGCACAATAAAACCTCGCATATAAGAACCTAGCTTTTCCAAGTTAGCCTAAACAGGTTAATTCTTATCTAAATGGTGCTTACCAGGAAATTATACTAAACAAGTTCTTAAATAGGTTCTTATTTTCTTAAGAGAAAGGACTCATTTTAGGAAGGTATGGTATATGATTTATGTAAATTATGCACAAATGATCTAAAAAATGACAGTGTGTGCACTATACCAACCCTACATGCACTTTAAAGCTACACTGATTGTAACTTATAACTTAATTTTGACTCTATTTGATAATATAAGAAATCTGTGTTGAAATTCTGGCCTGAATAGGTTCTTATTTAAAGGGGGTCTAAATAAAATATTTTAGCCTAACAGGTTCTTAAATTCTAGGTTCTTATGTGCGGGGTTTTTCTTTACCTTCCAGGTCTCACTCATTCGTCTTTTATCATATCCAAGTATATCTTTACGATGTTCTGGTTTCCTTGGGAAAACCATGCCCTTTGCGAATGAATACGGACAATGTATCTATAAGAAAGAAAGAAATACATAATTACTTTACAAAAATTCTTTGTACGCTTGTATGGCGATATATTTACCTCTAGGGAGACCAGCTTTCAATTAGTTTATTTTAGGTTTCCTTCTGTACTAACACTGGATCAATAAAGGATGATCCTTACCGGACATCTAGATAGAACAGTTTAGAACTGATAGAGCTATCTAGTAGCAACAGGACGGTAGAGAATGGTTTAGTGTGGACGAAGCCTTACCCGTTTGCTCATTTCAGTAAATACGCATTTTAACTTACTATAGAGAGATTAGTTGAGAATTGATAGGGCAATTCAGTGTTCCAGTTTAAATAAAGTTAGTTTAGTATAGGTTTCTTCCTGTAGTAACACTGGATGAATTCAATAAGAGATGATTCTTACTGGAACTCTAGGGAGAACATGTTTAGACTGATAGAGTTATCAGTATAAATACTGTAAAGGCAGCTTAGTTTAGATCTGATCTTGTTGTAGCACTGGATCTATATAGGATAAACACTACTGAATGATCATCAACAGGTTAGAACTGTTAGAGCTATCCACTATAAAATTCAAAGTCAAATTAATTACCAAATATAAATCCAAGTATTCAACTTGCAAATTTTTCACAGTTGTTTGGCAGGCAGCGATGACATCCTCTCTTGCATGGCTGTTACACCTTTAATACATGGAAATAATTCTTAAATTATCTCAACAATCGGTCAAAAACATTATATCACAGGGTGTTAGCTAGAAGCAACAAATTCCAGCAATTTAATGAAATTGGGAAATTCAATTAGCCCACGACATTCAAACCTGAGAAATGTCTCCTATTCATACTCGATATAATCGGTCACTGAAAAGCCCCAATGCGGAGTGAGATGAATAATAATGTAATGTAATGTAATGTCTGATCATCCTATTCATCCTTTCTGAATGCGACCTCATTCCCAGGTTAGGGAAGAGGCTGGATTTAATTTATAGACAGACATTAGAAAGACTCCCAAGGCTTTGTTGTTGGAGATAAAACTATGTACTTTGCAAGTATACAGTATGCAGGAGATTTCTCCAAATTGGGATCATGTAGAAGGGAGACTGATATATTATTGGTACTAGGAATAAATATTATTGATTTCATAAACAAAATCCATTCCCAATTGTGTGTACTTGTGTGTACTGTATGGCTTCAAAATGTATTTATGATAGCAATTAAAAAGATATTCCATACCATAGTTTTGACGTAATAAAGACGTCCTCTCGGTTCATTCCAAGTTCATTCAAGATCTCGGTAAGAGCTTGTCCGACCTCAGCTTCATTACCGTAGAAATGAGCACAGTCAATGTGCTTGTACCCTGCTCTGATCGCTGCTTTGACAGCATCACCAACCTCACCTGGCTTTGACTGCCATGTCCTTCAGGAGAAAAAGTGATTTATGGCTCGTTAATATACAGCTCAGGATTTTATTTAGCTGAGTGATCTATAAACTGAACTAAGTTTATTTAAACTCGATAGCTCTATCAGTTCTAAACTGTTCTTCCTATAGAGATCCAGTAAGGATCATTTCTTATTCATCCAGTGTTACTACAAGAGGAAACCTAAACTAAACTAACTTCATTTAAACTGGATAGCTCCTACACACGTAAAAATCTCACAACTTGTCAACAAGATGTGTTCGCAACAGGCTTGTGGCAAGCTTGCCAACAAGTTGTAACAATGCTGTTATTTTATCATGTTGCTACAAGGTTGTCACTCACAACTGTTGACAAGTTGTTGAATTGCAGGACGATAACAAATTGTTGGAACAAACTTGTAACAAGTCTGTTGAGCTCAGCAATCTTGTAGCAAGTTGACAACTTGTCAACAAGCTGGGAACAAGCAATGCGAACACATCCTGTTGACAATTTGTTGGAACAGCATTGCTACAAGTCTGCGGCAGGTTTGTTACAACTTGTGCGTTTTTACGTGTGTACTACAGGATAAAACCTAACCTAAACTAACTTAATAACTTCTTATGCCAGATAGATCTATCATTCAAACTGTTCTCACTGGAAGTCCATAAAAGTAATCATTTACCAGTACAGTGTTACAACAGGAGGAAATTAAACCTGAGTATCTGCAGAGAAGACCTGTTGTGTTTGGTAGAGTTAAACTGGAAGCATTCTTCTCACATGTGACTGAGGTGAAATAAATTCTGATTATAATTAAAGTACAATCAGACAACTGCATATTGCAGGAATCAATCCCATCACATAAATGAAAGATGCACACACTAACGACTCTGTCAGCAACAGTCCTTATTTCTCAAGGTCTTAATAAATCTAAATTGTTTTGTACACATTTGAATTGCAGTGTACCTTGACAGCGTATTGTGCAGTATTACATTTCTATCACGCATGAAACTAATGCATATATCAATACCACAGATTAGAGATTAGACTAATCTTTAACCTAATTTAACATATTTACTTGGCACGCATGCAAATAGCCACACATTACTGTACATAACTACAGTCTAGCACATACTAAGACAAGAATAACAACATGTAAAAACGTGCCAAAGATGGAGAAGCACAAACGAGACTAGGTCCCATGCATGGTGCTCACCATTAATTAGTCTAGGTCCCATGCATGGTGCTCACCATTAATTAGTCTAGGTCCCATGCATGGTGCTCACCATTAATTAGTCTAGGTCCCATGCATGGTGCTCACCATTAATTAGTCAGGACAGTACAGACAAAACAACACATTAAATAAAATAGAAAAAAAGATGTGGAGGGAAAGCAAGAAGTACAGTAGATTAAGAGAAAGGAGAAGAGAACGACTGATATGGAAGATATTATTCAGTCGTGATCAATGAGTGTGAGCTAGGTAAGTCAGGAGTGTAAACAGTCGCAGTAAGTTGGAGGTAGGTCTTGTGGAGGTATGTTTTGAAGGAGGAGAGAGTGTTGTAGCTGTTCGAAGGAGCAGTTTTACATACATAGCTCCACTGATTTACAATCCTGACAAAGTAGGAATTTTGGAATGTGCTAATCTTACACGCTTGTGATCTTAAAGACTGAGACGTTCCCGCGCATGTCCTGCTTGTCGTAGCCTGCGTGGCAGGCCCTCATTTTTATGGGGGGGGGCCTGATTTGCAACGGGCAGGATTTTTGAGGGCAGGCTATGCTTGTCGTAGTTTCAACATATTGTTCCACGTCTAGGTCTATCATATTGTTCTTGCATTTATAATAAAAGATCAGATCTTTCTGTTCTCTATCATACACAAGCGGGATTAGATTAAGTTTTTTTTAACCGTTCCACATAAGAAAGTTCTCCACGTTTTTTCATCAGGATTCCGTTTTCTTGTAACCGTCAACACCTTGCACACAACACAGGAGTGTTGAATTTCATCCTCGATTTAGTACTCCATTTTTCCAGCATGGTCAAGTCTTCTTGTTAGGACTGGCAGTTGTCTACTGATCTTATTTCACTGTATAATTTTGAGTTATCTGCATACAATGCGGAGTTTGTACTCGATGACACACTGTCGGGAAGATAATAATTATATATGAAAATTACGAAAAGTAATTGTTCCAGAATGCTACCTTGTGGTACACCATATGTAACAGGAGACTATGAAGATGCTGTACCCTCGATAACAACTCTCTGCTGTCTTGATATAACGTTTGCTTTCTTCCACACTTGGAACGCCACTTGTTTCTATTGATTTGTTGAACAAACTGCAGAGGCTTGATGATATCTCCTTAGAGCATTCTTTAAGTAGACGTGGTGGTATCCCGTCAGGGCCATAAGCTTTTGATGTGTCCAAGTTGTTAAAGTAATGCTCTGCTTCGCATTCCATAATTTCATTACCAGATATTTCCTCACAAGTTTTTGGATTCATACAGTCCAGGTTCTTTATTGTGGACTTTGGAAGGCAAACTGAAGCGAAACATTCGTTAAGAAGTTCAGCCTTTTTGTTCGGCGTTGTTGCAGTTACGTTGTTATAGGTGTTGGATGATGGGGCATTCCTACTGCTGAGAATATGTTTATGGTAGGACCAGAATGACTTTGGTGAATGTGTCAGCGAATCTTGAACTCTTTCCAGATATTGCTGTCGCTTTCCAGATATTGCTGTCGCTTTCCAAAATGTGGTGTACCGCAGGGATCTATCTTGGGCCCTTTATTATTCCTATTATACATAAACGATATGCCTGACTCCTTAAAATATTCAACTCCATCCCTCTACGCAGATGACACAGAAATTTATCTATCCTCTAAAGATTGTGATGACATTGTTATTAAAATAAACCTTGACCTTGAAAATATTCGAAAATGGATGCTACAAAATAAGCTCCAAATTCATCCGACAAAATCGAAATATATGTTTATTGGATCAGCGTATAATATTAGACATAAGGTATCTGGTAACCCAATTCTTGTTAATAACGTTCCAATACCCAGGACTGAAAATTATACTTGCCTTGGTGTCAACATTGACGAAAAATTGACCTGGGAAAAACATATTGATATGATATGTTCAAAAGTCAGTGCGGGAATCGGTGCTATAAGACGTATTAGGCCCTTCGTATCGTCTGCGATACTAAAATTGATGTACAATGCTATTGTGCAGCCCTACTTTGATTACTGCAGCCCTCTCTGGGACAACTGTGGAATAGGCCTCAAGGACAGGTTGCAGAAATTTCAAAATCGGGCTGCAAGAGTAATTTCTAGTGCGACTTACAATGTTCGGTCAGTTGATTTACTTGAAAGCCTGGGTTGGAAATACCTAGAACTAAGGCGAACTTATCAAAAATCTGTTTTTATGTATAAAATTCTGAATAACCACACCGCACCAAATCTAAGAACATCCTTTCGATTGAATAATGAATGTGATAATACCTATGATCTTAGAAATAGAGAAACCGATTTGTCTCTTCCTAAACCGAATACCGATTCCGGTAAAAGATGCTTCAAATATAATGGAGCGGTAGTATGGAATAATTTACCGTATGAGGTAAAAGTAGCGGAATCTTTAAGTTCTTTTCAAAGAACTATTAATCAGGCAAACACTTAAAATTGGCTCGTCCTGTTGCCTAATTCTTCTTTCTTTGTTTTTGTATTTTTAATGTATATTTCTCCAAATCACGCCCCTCATGGAAATCAGCTCCTAGTTGTTGAGGCCAGCGTGCCTAAATAAATTTTTGTATGTATGTATATGTATGTAAGCAAATTGTGGGCCACAAGCGGTACCAGACTGTATGGTACTCAACGGAACGTATTATAAACTTGCGACCCACAAGCGAACCAAGCAAATTGTGAGCCAAAAGCGGTACCAGACTGTATGGTACTCAACGGAACGTATTATAAACTTGCGACCCACAAGCGGACCAAGCAAATTGTGGGCCACAAGCGGTACCAGACTGTATGGTACTCAACGGAACGTATTATAAACTTGCGACCCACAAGCGAACCAAGCAAATTGTGAACCACAAGCGGTACCAGACTGTATGGTACTCAACGGAACGTATTATAAACTTACGACCCACAAGCTAACCAAGCAAATTGTGAGCCACAAGCGGTACCAGACTATATGGTACTCAACGGAACGTATTATAAACTTGCGACCCACAAGCGAACCAAGCAAATTGTGAACCACAAGCGGTACCAGACTGTATGGTACTCAACGGAACGTATTATAAACTTGCGACACACAAGCGGACCAAGCAAATTGTGAGCCACAAGCGGTACCAGACTGTATGGTACTCAACGGAACGTATTACAAACTTGCGACCCCCAAGCGGACCAAGCAAATTGTGGGCCACAAGCGGTACCAGACTGTATGGTAGACAACGGAACGTATTACATATTAGCGGACCAAGCAAATTGTGGGCCACAAGCGGTACCAGACTGTATGGTACACAACGGAACGTATTACATATTAGCGGACCAAGCCACCTGTAGGCTACAAGCGGTACCAGACTGTATGGTACATATCGAAACACAATGCGAATTTCGACCAGCGAGCGATACCAGACTATATGGTATCCAACGGAACGTATTGCAGCTTTGCGACCCACAAGCAGGACCAACCTGATAAACCGTAGCAAATTGTGGTCCCCAATCGATACCAGACTGTATGGTACTCAACGGAACGTATTATAAACTTGCGACCCACAAGCGAACCAAGCAAATTGTGAGCCACAAGCGGTACCAGACTGTATGGTACTCAACGGAACGTATTATAAACTTGCGACCCACAAGCGAACCAAGCCAATTGTGGGCCACAAGCGGTACCAGACTGTATGGTACTCAACGGAACGTATTATAAACTTGCGACCCACAAGCGAACCAAGCAAATTGTGGGCCACAAGCGGTACCAGACTGTATGGTACTCAACGGAACGTATTATAAACTTGCGACCCACAAGCGGACCAAGCAAATTGTGAGCCACAAGCGGTACCAGACTGTATGGTACTCAACGGAACGTATTACAAACTTGCGACCCCCAAGCGGACCAAGCAAATTGTGGGCCACAAGCGGTACCAGACTGTATGGTAGACAACGGAACGTATTACATATTAGCGGACCAAGCTACCTGTAGGCCACAAGCGGTACCAGACTGTATGGTACATATCGAAACACAATGCGAATTTCGACCAGCGAGCGATACCAGACTATATGGTATCCAACGGAACGTATTGCAGCTTTGCGACCCACAAGCAGGACCAACCTGATAAACCGTAGCAAATTGTGGTCCCCAATCGATACCAGACTGTATGGTATCTAACAAAACGTCTTGCGAATTGCAACCCATATGCGATACTAGATTGTATGGTATAAAACGTAACAAATGCGGGCTTCAGACGATACCATACTATATGGTATATCACGAAACGTATTACGACTTGCGACTCCCAAGCGATACCACGCTGTATGGTAAATAACGAAACGTATTGCGAATTGCGACCCATCGGCGATACCAGACTGTATGGTATAACACGTAACAAATTGTGGGCCACAAGCGATACCAGACTGTATGGTATATAACGAAACGTATTGCAAACTGTGACCCATATGCGATACCAGACTGTATGGTATAAAACGTAACAAATTGTGGGCCACAAGCGATACCAGACTGTATGGTATATAACGAAACGTATTGCGAATTGCGACCCACAGGCGATACCAGACCGGCTGTATGGTATAATACGTAACAAATTGTGGGCCACAAGCGATACCCGACTGTGTGGCATATAATGAAACGTATTGCAAATTGCGACCCATATGCGATACCAGACTGTATGGTATAAAACGTAGCAAATAATTGTGGGCCACAAGCGATATCAGACTGTATGGTATATAACGAAGGTAGGTAGGTAAAAACTTTATTTAAACACGTTTGCCTCGTCAACATGGTGCTGATTTCCACGAGGGGCATCACACAAACAATACAAAGAAAATAATTAAGTTACAAAGTTACAATTTAAAAATATTATATACAACTATATATATATATATATATATATATATATATATATATATATATATATATATATATATATATATATATATATAAGTTAGATTAGCACATATAGCACAGAGTTATCGTCTAGCTTGCACCTATCTCTTTTTTGAAGCAATCGAGAGTATCCACCGATTTAGCTGCAGACGAAAGGTCATTCCATAACATAGGCCGCTGTACTTAAAGCTTTTTCTTAGATATTCTGTTCTAGGTTTTGGAAGAGTTCAATGATTTTCGCTATTTCTGAGATTGGGTATTTTGTGTCACATGCATCCTTTTGTAAAAAGATTCTGTTAGAATTGCGACACGTAGGGCGATATCAGACTGTATGGTATAAAACGTAACCAATTGTGGGTCACAAGCAATACTAGCCTGCATGGTATATAACGCAACACCTTGCAAAATGCGACCTACGAGTGATACCAGACTGTATGGTAACTCCGCTCTTGTTAGTCTTCTCCATTGTAAGCCCAAACACAAGAGACAACATGTCACACGAGTTTGTTAGTTTCATATCGAATATTATTTGTGCTTACCCCAATTCATCCCAAATCCCACTTTAAATTACTCGTGCAAGTTAAGTCAGGAACAACACCAGCCGACGCAGCCGTTGTCGCCACTCCGATTCGAAGCTATGTCCTGAGTACTTGCCCTCGTGGCATAACCAAGCCGCTGAATCGTGTATCCACGAAACTAATTGCTTGCGCGACAGGGTTTCGCCGTTCTGGACCTTCGCATTTGTCCGGAGGTAAACGGGACTGCCGATATCGAGTGATGTGCCTGCAAGGCGTTGAGACTTCGAGCAAACCATAGCACCAGCTGGGCCAAGTGTGAAAAAATCGATCGTCAAGGTAATGCAAAAAATCGGCAACACGACAGTTGTGCTGTAAAATCCACTCGACCGCATCCCCCAACGAGTTGAAGATTCCCGGGGCGTTTCGTAGACCGAAGGGAATAGAATAGAATAATTTATTTAATGTCGAATGACACAGAGTGTGGTTGCCCAATCACTCGAACCAGGGGCTCATGATAGATATTTATTATCTGTACTTGAATGTTTATATGTCCTTTTGTCAATATGTCTGAAATGCATGCTTTGCCCTTTAGTCATCTTGATGATGACGAATTTGAGCTTGTGTTACTGATATGAATTCGCAAATGGCTCTGTACGATTTGATGAGGATAGATTATCATGCTTGGTTTTTAACCCGCTGCTATATGATTACAATAATACGGTTGGTTTATGTTCTGATTTAGATGCTGATTCGAATTTTTATTCAAAAGTATCTCAAAGTTGTGATTACTATACGGAGCTAAAACTAAATAACTTCCTGTCTAATACGATGCCGAATAATTGTTTTTCGCTTTTTCATCTAAATATTAGAAGCCTACAACGAAACTTTGACAATTTGTTAAATTTGCTGACCACTGTCGAACACCGCTTTTCTGTGATAGGCATAACTGAAACTTGGCTTCGCCAAGAAGAACACAATGTGAGTATTGACGGGTATAATTTTGTTCATAATTATCGAACCAGCAAAGCACGAGGTGGTGTCGGCTTGTACCTGGCAGATCACCTTGAATTCACTTTACGTTCGGACCTTATATTTGACAATACACCTCGCACAGAAGTATTGTTTATTGAAATTTATCAACCCAAAAGGAAAAACATTGTGGTTGGAATAATATATAGGCCTCCTGACCATAGAATTGATGAATTTGTTTATAATACTAACAAATTAATTTCCGCAATTTCCAAAGAAAACAAATCGTGTTATTTAATGGGTGATTTTAATTTGAATTTGCTTAATTACCATACCCATCAATTTACCGGTGAATTTCCCGATATTATGTACTCTAATATGTGTTTTCCTTTGATAACCCGGCCCACGCGTATAACTTCTAACACACAGTGGCGTAGCTGGCTCAAAATAATCGTCCCGCCAAAGTTTCAATACATCTCCATTTAAACAGGAATATTTTGCCTTGCTAAGGAACCCCATAGCCCGATGCACGTGCAAATCACGCTATACGGGTAATTTGACCTTTAGAATCGATTTCCGACGTTTCCCGAGTGCTGGCATTGTTTTGGATATTTGAACTTGAAGCTCTCGCGTAAAATTTAGATATTTTGAAATACCGAAATAAAAGATGCAAATCTGCAGATACAAGCTTGAACATAACACTCTAAATAGTCTGTTAGATTGTGATTCGAACAAGACTAATACCAAAATGAAACGTTGAAAGTAGCCGAAGTTAGATAATTTCGGCGAAAGGTATATATGGCTTATTAAATAGTGATACATTGTTTACATCGGTTCAAGTATATTGTATATAGGTATGGTTAGTTTACATCGTTCGAGTTTGGCTAGTTTATAATTTATGGCTATTTTACATTGTTCAATTACATAGTATCTTTCAAGCAGAATTTTTTGGTGGTATTTTCGTATTTCTACTGCAAATATTCGCGGAGTTGTTTAATATATGGAATTGAGTTGACAACCTCCGCCTTTATAAAATAGCGGGACTTCGGCATTAAAAACAGCCGTTCTGAGCATGCGCTGCGCCAATTATCCAATCAGAAACCAAAATTTCTTGTATAAAATAGTATTGCATATCCCGCCATATGAAAATCAGCGGAACACGAGAAATGCGATTCACGAATTGCGTGAGTAAGCAATCAATTGCGTGGAAATTAGCTAATTTTGGGTTTCAGAGGTCAAAGAGCAGACAGCAACATTGCGTAAACTTTAAATAAATAAATGAAAGCACTGAAAAATGATCATAATTATAAAAATTTTCAGAATAAGAGAAGCTGTTAATTTGGCTTCACTATAAAACATTTCCTCATTTTTTTTTTAAATTTCTAGTCCCGCCAGGCGGGACAGCGGGACCGCTAGCTACGCCACTGCTAACACAGCGACATTAATTGATAATATATTTACAAATAATTTAGACACTTATTCCTTCAGTGGTTTATTGTTTACCGATATCTCCGACCATTTACCAATTTTTTCCTTTTTTTACGACCAATCATTACAAGATGCTAGTGATACATACGTGACCTTTAGGGATAAGAATAAGGCTAATTTGCTAAAATTTCAAGATCGGCTAAAAAATTTTAAATGGACTGATCTTGAGGGATATGACGATCCTAATTGTGCATATGCTACTTTCCATAAAAACTTTACGAATATATGTAATACTTCTTTTCCTTTGAGAAGAGTAAAGGCAGCGAAGTTCAAATCTAACAAGCCCTGGATATCTGGCGGTCTTTTAACATCGATTAGGAAGAAAAACAAATTATATAAGAAATTTTTACGTATTCCAACTTCCTCTTATGAAAACCTGTATAAAAAATACAAAAATAAGCTCAATCATTTATTGCGTTCAGCCAAACGCCTTTATTATGAAGAGAGATTGGAGTCTATCAAAACCAACATTAAAACAACATGGAAAACATTAAATGAAATTATAAACAAAAAACCCCGTAAAAAGCCATTGCCATCGGTGTTCATTGCTAATAACCAAAATATCGTTAATCCACTGAATATTGCCAATCGCTTTTGTGACTATTTCACTAATATAGGTCCCAATTTAGCTAATAATATACCAACTTCATCCCAAATTCCTAGTTCCTATTTGACGGGAAATTTTGTAAACTCGTTGTTTTTTCAACCAGTAGTCCAATCAGAAATCACAGAAATAATTAGCTCTCTACGATCAGGAACTGCTGGTGGCTATGATAATATTTCTATGCAAATTGTCAAGGATTCTGAGCAAATTGTCAAGGACTTGGTTTCTGAGCCGTTGACCCATATTGTCAATTTGTCTATTCAATCTGGCATCGTTCCTGATCAGATGAAAATAGCACGGGTTATACCTATATATTTTTAAATCAGGTGCGGATAACCTGTTCTCCAACTACCGGCCAATATCGGTTCTACCGGTCTTTTCTAAAATTCTGGAAAGGGTCGTGTATGACCGGCTATTAAATTATTTAAACGAATACAATATTTTGTTGAATAATCAGTACGGCTTTAGAAAAAACCATTCCACCTCGCTTGCATTAATTCATTTATTGGATAAAATTACAACTGCTTTTGATGAAAAAAAGTATACTATTGCAATATTTCTTGATTTATCTAAGGCTTTTGATACTGTCGATCATGAGATAATTTTTGAGAAACTTGCACATTATGGTATTCGAGGATCGGCCCTTCAATGGATCAAAAGTTATTTTACTAATAGACAACAGTATGTTCAATTCAACAGTACTTGTTCTTCCTTAAGTAAAATCAAGTGTGGCGTACTTCAAGGGTCAATCCTCGGACCTTTGTTCTTCTTGATTTATATTAATGATATAGCTAATTCTTCTAGCATAGCCGAAATGATTTTATTTGCTGATGACACAAATGTGTTTTTTTCCGATAGTGATTTATCTAGGATAACAACTGTCATTAATACTGAAATGAAAAATCTATCAGAATGGTTTTTTGCTAATAAGCTGTCGCTCAACATTAAGAAATCTAATTATATAATTTTCACCCCTAGACAAAGGAGGCAAACACTTGATCTAGTAATTGAAATAAATAATCATAGGCTAGAACGAGTCAAGGAAACTTCTTTCCTTGGAGTAATTTTGGATGAAAGTCTGACTTGGAAATCTCAGATTTCGTATGTTGCTAGCAAAATTTCAAAGTCCATTGGAATAATATATAGATCAAGTTTCTGTCTCACCCGTCTTACCCTGCGCACCTTGTATTTTGCTCTCGTATATCCCTACTTAAACTATTGTGTTATCATTTGGGGAGCAACGTATCCCTCAAATCTCAACCGTCTATTATTACTACAGAAAAAAGTAGTTAGAATCTTAAGTAATGCATCCTATGATGCACATACTTCACCTTTATTTAACTCCAAAATGATACTCAAAGTTGAAGATATATATCTTCTTAATCTGGGTAAGTTCATGTTTTCTTACCAGAAAAATTTACTTCCTCCAAGTTTTAGCAATTTTTTCTCGACCACTGATCAAATCCACTCTCACAATTTACGGACTGCTGGCCAATTTTATGTTCCATTTTGTAGAACGAAGGCCAAACAATTTACTGTAAAATTCCAAGGCCCTAAATTTTTTAATTCTTTAAATAGTGAAATTCGAGATTCACCCTCAGTCTCAACATTTCAACTTAAACTTAATAAATATCTTTTGTCTCTTTATAGTTAATCAGTTCTTGTGTTTGTTATATTGTTGCATTGTACTGTTCTCTTGTTTGTCTTTTTTATGTGTAAACATTGTTATTTTAATCAACGTACTATAATTGTTAATGAGTTTGTAACCATAATTGCATGTTAGTGAATTTATATTGATGAGGTAACCCAATATTCCAATAAGCCTTCCGCTTTCTACTTGGGTTTCCTCGGGTAATTTGGGTACTTGGGTTTCCTTGGGTACTTTGTATTGGACCAAGTACTTTAAATAGTCGGTGATGAGTCCTGCTCCCATGATACATATTTATGTTGTCCATCAAGAAAATGACTGGTTTTGGAACAGGTGCACACTCATCAATTAAACTTTGGAATTGCATCAACCTTTTGTCCGTAAATTACATTCTATGGAAATTAAAAGTTCTTGATTAAATCGAAAATATTTATGCCCAATTAATGTTATCATTAATTTTATATAACAATAAAGGAGAGATTAACTCATTGAGTTGCACTGCACCCTGATGCACCCTACTTTAGTATTTTACTCTATCTAAGCCAGACGATTTTACTCGTCAAGGGGAGAGCGCAGACACTTAATGGGTCAACTGGCCTATCTGCCAATGTGTATATTAGTTAACCCATTGAGTTGCATTGCACCCTGATGCATCCTACTTTAGTATTTTGTTCTGTCTAACGACAGAGTATTTTACTCTGTATAACGCCTGACGATTTTACTCATCAAGGGGAGAGCGCTGGCGCTTTTAATGGGTTAATTAACTTTGCATGGTCTGATAATTAAAAGTATACTGTATTATTATCTATTGTACAGTTGCAATTAATCAGGGTCATTTGTTTGGTGAGGAGGGGAAGTAGTCCATTCCGAGACAAGAACTGTTTTGACCTTTGGGTTGGGGGAGGAGGAGGGGGGAGGGGGTGGCAGGTGTGACAATCCCACACATTATTTCTATTTTTAAAACAATATAGTCAAATAATTAAATTTAGATTCCAACATTTGGGTCCGAATATTTGGAAAATTGAACAGACTATCCATCACCTTTCAATACGATAATAAACAAAAATGATAAAAAATTGCAATATTTGCAGCTATTATACTCACATAGTGTTTCAATGTAAAGATAATCCAATTGACTGAAGCATGTCAATAAATTGTTTTCCTGCACCAAATGTTATACCAAGAAGACCAAATATTAGTGGAAAACAATTTCTTGTTCTTTGGTTTCTGATGTTACTGATAATCCCAAGCATATGTAAGCCACATACCATCTTATGTGTGTTTGTCTTTAATAAATTTCTGCTTGCTGGGTTGGAAATTACTAGACTCTCTACCATACTGTATATTAAAGGGCATTTTTCTTTCACTGCCTCCAAAGTATCTTTAAAAAGTGATGCATCAATGGTATCAGACACATTCAGTACAGAAGAGCCACGAATACCAGTATCACAAATGTCTTCAAATTCTTTCATTTCTAATTTGATCATGTGCTTTTGTTTATCTGACAATGCATTATCAGGAACATTGTGCTTCAATTTCTCAATTTCCTCTTTAAACATGTTCATGACATTGTTAATGTGGCCTTCTCGCTTTTGTGATTCTTTTGCATATTCTGCTAGTAGATCAGATATATCACCACCTTCATTATATTTTGATACAATGGATGACCATACTTGGCTTACGACTAAATCTGAAAGCTCCAAGTTTGTAAGCAGATTTTTAATATCGTCTATATAAAAGACAAATGTAAAAAATAATAAAATTTAATTCCGCACATACATCTTTATTGCAAAAATCAATGACATGAGAAAGTATGCTTGTCTCTGTCTGAAAATGACTATGCACTAAATATCATCTGGCGTTAGACAGAGTAAAATTCTAAATTAGGGCACATCAGAGTGTTTTGCCACTTAAAGGGGCCTATTCATGGCTGGTGTGTGTTTATGTGTGTGGAGGGGGGGGGGGGGCTTGGGAAAATTTATTAGAATTATATACATTAGATTTATTAGATATATAATAGAATATACTCATACCATTTGCTTCAATCTCATCATGTTTAATGTCAGAAAATTGATGAGCAATACACTTTTCCCGTAGGTTAATAAAAACCACTCTGTTAATTTATCAGTGAAGGAAAACTGTTTTAAATGGTTATATATCTACAACTATTGTTACAGAAATTGAAACCAATGGTTCTAAAAGGATTGAATTAAATTTGAATGGTTCTAAACAGATTAATCAATGTAAAATTTATTTCTGACCGTAATTTTTTTAAAAGTTTTAATAGGATTGCACCAACCATTCTAGATATGAAATATTTGAGAATTTGTTTCTCTTCATATAACTGGCAGGACAAAATTTAACAAACAAAGCTGTACTCGTGCTGCAAGCAAATTAAAACATTTAGCAGTTTAAAACACTGGCTTTTACAGTACTGCAGGTACTGTAACCCTCCGACTATAAGCCCTGGGCTTATATACTTTGTAAGCGATTTTTGATGAGCTTATACAAGGGTGGGCTTATATATGGGGGGGGGGGGCTTATACATGGACAAGTTTTTGTATTAGTAGTAAACAAGTCAGACATAAACAAGTCAGACATAAACAGGAAAATAAACATGTATTAATAACGCGTTTTAATTCACATATAGTGGGCTATATTAAGACAATGACAATGTTTTTAAATATTGTCATCTGTTCAAAAACAGTTCTCTGCTATATTACTGTAAAAGACAATGTGACCAATGTTGAGTAACGTAGTGGGCTACTGGGCTTATATTCAGGGGATTTATATTCAGGTGGACGTATATTCGGGGGGGGGGGGCTTTTATTTGGAATGAGGTGAGCGTTAGTATATGCGATGGGCTTATATTCGAGGGGGCTTATAATCAGAGGTTTACGGTATCTGATGACATTAGAAAGAAACCTAGTGGCCAGCTAGGTGTTACTAATAATGTAATGTTATGTTTAATATACTTGGTTTAATATATAATCGGTTTAATATACAATATAATTGGTTTAATTATATAATATTTATAGATTTATAAAGGAAAAGGATACTGATTTTTGTTATCTTTTCTATCCCTCCTGATGTAGACTCCAGGGAATGCCTCTTTTACTGCTCGAGTTACGCGTGATTTTGTGATAGTATCGTCGCCCAGATATGCCACAACCGTATCATAAGGTGTTTGACTGTTGTCGTGCAATTCAAAACCATCTTTTAAAACAATTGTAGTGGCCTTTCTTTGATCCAATCGTTGTTTCCCTGATAGGGATTTTCCTGAACAATTAAATTATTATAAGCTATTTAATAAATTATAAATCGAATGAAACCTCGCACACGATAAAGTTTGTACAAAGAGATATATATCTTTGAATATATGAAACTATTTAACTTACCAACAGAAGCTCTCTTCAACGGTGGCAATGGAGCTTGCTTTGTTGATGGAGTCAATGTGTGCTTTCCTTGCGCGGGGCTTGTCACGCTGCCTTCTTCTTGTATTTCTTGTATAGGAGTGCTTGTTCTCTGTTTATCATGATCTGATGTACGAAAAATGACAATATAAAAAGCAGTTTATGCAAATATTGCGATATTTCCAACAGAAAATATATGCGCTGCACACATGGCTTGTATCAATTTGTCAACACTTACCATAATCCTCGTCATTCAGCGATAGATTATGCATAGACGTCTCCAAATCTTCCTCTGAACCCGACCAGATGCTTTCTAAGTCTTGCAAAGGCAAGCTCTCGTCCAAATCGTCGCTCATTATCAAAATTTATGCATTTGCCGAGAAATTGACCGATTTGCCAAGAAACAGACACAATATTTCACAGTCCCTAACAAAACGCCTCGGGGCATTCCCATGGTCCTTTGCGTTAGAAGCAGTGTTAGGGACTGTGGAAGAGTCAGGCCCGGTGTGGATATACACTCAGAGTAACACCACAAATATCATATTCACCTGAGTACACTACACCAACACAGAAAAAATTCATATTGCTAGAATACATTGGTATCGAAGGAACTAGATTCTGTTCCGAAATATCACTTACTCGAACCGTCCTGACCGCGTAGCTCAGTTGGAAGAGTATTGGGCTAGTATTCCAAAGGTCGTAGGTTAGAATCCCACCGTGGCCGGGCATATTTTTCAAGCTCGCCCGGTGTGAATATACACTCAGAGTAACACCATAAATATCATATTCACCTGAGTACACTACACCAACAGAGAAAAAATTCATATTACTAGAATACATTGGTATCGAAGGAACTAGATTCTGTTCCGAAATATATATCACTTACTCGAACCGTCTTGACCGCATAGCTCAGTTGGAAGAGCATTGGGCTAGTATTCCAAAGGTCGTAGGTTCGAATGCCACCGTAGCCGGGCATATTTTTCAAGCTCGCCCAGTGTGGATATATACACTCAGAGTAACACCACAAATATCATATTCACCTGAGTACACTACACCAACACAGAAAAAATTCATATTACTAGAATACATTGGTATCGAAGGAACTAGATTCTGTTCCGAAATATCACTTACTCGAACCGTCCTGACCGCGAGCTCAGTTGGAAGAGCATTAGGCTAGTATTCCAAAGGTCGTAGGTTCGAATCCCACCGTGGCCGGACATATTTTCAAGTTCGCCCGGTGTGGATATACACTTAGAGTATTTGTACCATTCCAATTCTATCAGTCACATTTAATCGAAATTTCATTTCACTCCACACATCATTTGATGTTCACCCAATAAAATGTCCCAACAGGTCAGCAGGGCCATTCCACAGCATTCCAGGATCTGAATACCTGCAACCACCTTTTTGGTCCAATTCCAAAAGAAAAACAAACAAAAATTTAACACCAAAAAGAGGGGTTACGACGTTTAGTCTAAAATTATCCTTTTTGGGTGGTGACAAATAACACCAATTTAACCCCAGTTAAAATTTAACCCCAGTTTTTGAGTTAAAATAACACTCATTGGGTGTTAAAATATAACACCTTTTAAGGAGTTAAATAAATCTAACTCCGTTTCAGGGGTTAAAAAATTATTTCTTCGAATGTCAGAAACTTACCTTGCGAAATGGTCCACTTATATCTTTATGCTATCGTCTTTTAAAAAAACATTTCCTTCGAGGATCAATATATTAAAATATCGATGTGTTGGTTGCATAGCAACTGGCAACTGCGAAGGAATTACAGTACGACCACGTTATTGTAGCACGCTATCCATAAATGCACATGCACATACACGAAAGAAGGTCGGGAATCTTCGAGTTAAGCCCTTCGAGTTAAGCCCCTCGAATTAAGCCCTTTTCGAGTTAAGCCCCGGCCACGCCCTGTTTTGCCAAGACCACGCCCTTTTTCCAAAAGGGCTTAACTCGAAGAACGAAACACGTTTTGGGTCATTCGAGTTAAGCCCCGGGGCTTAACTCGAAGTTTAACAAAAAAGTTGTTGCTCGAGTTAAGCCCCGACTTTTGAAGTATGTCAACGAGTGCATTATTAAATTGTCAAATTTTCAATACAAAAAAGCCAAAGGCAAAGCACAGAAATTTTCTCAAAAAGAACTTGTATATCGCTAATGTAATACGATTATCTAAAACAATCACAACTATTATCGTTAACAATATTTTAGGTTTTTCATATTTAAATTAATATTAAATTTAACAACACTCAACAGGTAATTACTTTTAGTGGATCGTTTATCCACAACAAAACAACAAAACAATATTTTAATTATAAAGTAGATAGAATCCAACTCGTTCCTTTTGTTTGAATGTGCACAATATCGTCAAATTAACAGTTTGACTGCAACAAAAAAGTACAACCTTCTCCCATCACCTTGAACAAAACTAATCTATTAAGAAAATGATCGAAAATGACAGCATGTAATAACTAAAGAAAAAGAGAGGAAAGGGAAGGAATTTCGGTATAGAATGATCTGTCTTTGACAACTTGCGCCCAGATATTCACGCGTCATACGCACATGCAGTGCTCTCGTTTCTCATTGCCTGGAATTCCTTAGATTCTCGGTAAAAAATTCCTCAGATTTAGTAAAATTTCCTTAAACGAGGGGTAGGCATGGTTTTTTAGTATTTTATGGCCTGAATTATTGAGAATTCCAAAGTTAGGTTCCCAGAATTTCTGTCTCATTTGGGAATTGGGATTTTGAGCAGCATCGTCAGAAGGGATTTTACATTGTTGGTCAAGGAATATCTTCCTTCCAATAAATTTTTGCTGTCCTGAATGCATAAGACTGCATTTCCTGCGTTTTTAAAAAGTATTTTTGCATAAATACAGCTAAATATGACTGAATTTTTAAATATTATTTCAACATTTTCATGTATTAGATAGGCTAAAAAATTCCTCAGAAATTCCTTAAAAATTCTATTTCCTTAAAAGTCTCCTTAAAAACTGATATTTTCCTCAGTTTTAAGGAAATTTCCTTAAAACTGAGAGCCCTGCGCACATGTACAGTAATTTTATCAGCCAAATGAATGGTTATGAATCACGAATGGTTTCATTTGTGTCAGCAAATTATCACGGGGAGAAATTGTTACATTTGAGTAAAATACCCAAATTTATCCCCGTAATAATGGCGCTACGTCACCATTTCGTTCATAAAATTACTAATGCTCAGCAAATATTCCCTTTTTAATAATACAAGTCAACGTAGCGCCATTATTACGGGGATAAATTGTTACATTTGGGTATGTTACTCAAATGTAACAATTTCTCCACGTGATAATTTGTTTACCCAAATGAAATCATTCGTGATTTGTAACCATTTGGCTAATAAAATGACTGTGCATGTGCGTATGAGGCGCGAGTCTCTGGGCGCAAGTCGTCACAGACAGATTCTATACCGAAATTCCTTCCCTTTCCTCCCTTTTTCTTTAGTTTTTAAATTCTGTCATTTTCGATCATTTTCTTAACAGATTAGTTTTGTTCAAGGTGATGGGAGAAGGTTGCACCTTTCCTGTTACAGTAAAACTGTTAATTTGTCGATATTTTGCACATTGAAGCAAAAGGAACGAGTTAGGATTCTATCTATTTTATAATTAAAATATTGTTTTATTGTGGATAAACGATTCACTAAAAGTAATTACCTGTTGTTAAATTTAATATTAATTTAATATGAAAAACCTAAAATATACCTAAAATACGATAATAGTTGTGTTTGTTTTTGATAATCGTATTACATTAGCGATATAGCGATATATAAGTTCTTTTTGGGAAAATTTCTGTGCTTTGGCTTTTTTGTATTGAAAATTTGACAATTTAATATTGCACTCGTTGACATACTTCAAAAGTCGGGGCTTAACTCGAGCAACAACTTTTTTGTCAAACTTGGAGTTAAGCCCCGGGGCTTAACTCGAATAACCCAAATCCTGTTTCGTTCTTCGAGTTAAGCCCTTTTCGAAAAAGGGCGTGGTCTTGGCAAAACAGGGCGTAGTCGGGGCAACTCTTTCTCAGCTGGGGCCATTACGCGTAGAACGTGCACGTTCTACGGATGTAATTCGTTCATATCTTTGGTTCAGTGCACGCTATGTAGATGAAAATACCACCATTCGATTCAGTATAAAAATATACACTAATTTATAATGATAGTTTTAGTCAGTGGCTAAATTGTAGCGATTTATGAGCTTTGAAAGTCAAGCGAGCTTGGTATTTGATCAAATTACACAATATTACTAACAAATTATAAACATAGACATACCTTTCGCCGAACATAACTTCGGCCCCTTTAGACGTATGCTCATTCTGGTAGTCTTGATGAATGAAGCAGTTAAAAATAACATGTATACTGTTATTTTCAAGCTTCTATCTTTAAAATGTGAGTTTTCTTGCCGAATTTTGCATTTCTGCCCCGAATTTGCGTTAATCCCAACCGGAAATACGACGAAAAACCGTGAAAACAATGCGAAGTTTGTATCGCGTGACTCTGGAAATGCCAGAAATGGATTCTACAGGTCAAAGTGCACCTATACGCGTGAATTTGACGTCATCCCGGCTAAAGGGAGCTCCTTATTGGCCAAGTATTACGTAATACAAGCGCGTGCGAGTAAAACCCGATACCTTGAAAAATTCAAAATAAATATTTCTACTCGCCGTATTCATACGAAACTTGCTACACGAAAGCGCTTGAATACAAAGAGTATTTTACACATATATCCTTTCAGAAAATGTCGCCAAAGTTTAGAATCTATTCAACTTTTTCTCGTTTTCTCGTTTGAATGTTTGGCGAAGCGGTGAGTATAAATATATGATTGTTTCGGTTTGTGTAATGTTTTGACGGCACTTGACCCCCCGTTCGAAAGGTTATATTGTGAG